ATAACAATTCAAAGACTGCAAGATGATGCAAAAAAGCAATTTAAGATTGATAGGTGTCAGTGAAAAAGCAGGGGTCAACACAAATGAAATTAAAAGGCTGTTTGCAGCAGGAATAGCAGAAAAGTTCCAAACATTCAAAATAAATGTAGCATACAGATAAATGAAGTATGTAAAACTCCAACTAGCTATAGCAAAAGTAAATCTACATATAATAATCAAGATCCCAGAAATTCAGCACAAGAACAAAACATTAAAAGCTGTTAGAGAAAAGAAACAGATCACTTATAAAGGAAAACCAATCAGAATCACAGCAGACTTATCAGCACAAACCACAAAGTCAAGAAGAGTTTGAAGTGTTTCAAATCCTGAAAGAAAACAACTTCCAACCCAGACTGATGTATCCTGAAGAACTATCTTTCAAAATTGACGGAAAAATACAATACTTCCATGATAAAAAACAACTGAAGGAATTCATGACTACCAAACCAACCCTACAGAGAGTGCTAAAATATATTCTAGAGAGAGATAAAAGTGACCATGGTTCCAGGGACAGCAGCAGAGGAGGCTCACCAAGCAGTACAGGCAACTGAATGAAGGGGGAAGGTGGAGGGTCAACAGCGGGAGGGCAGCATGGCAGAGACAAATCAGTGTATGTTGGTTGTAACTATTAATGTAGATGGCCTCAATTAAGCAGTAAAAAGATGCACAAGGAGAGTGGATCAAGAAACAAGATCCACTGATACACTGTATATAAGAAACACGTTTAACTGGAAAGGAATTTCATAGACTGACAATCAAAAGAGAGAAAACAATTGTTCTATGAGACAGGCGACCAGAAAAAAAAAAAAGGAATGGTTACTTGCCCATCAACTACAGAATGAATAAGAGAGACATGGTATTTTCTTACAATGGAAAGCTACCCACCTATAAGAATAATCTCAAGGCTGTGGTAGGTAAATGGATGTAACTGGAGATCATGTTCATGAGTGAAACAGTTTGTACTCATACTGGTGAACTCTAGCATAAAAAACAGAAGGAGTTTATGGGAACTCCTTGTAAAAGTGATAGGGAGGAAACTTCTGAGAGGCAAAGATGTTAACTACTGTTAATTTCTTGTGGTCTTGTCTTGAACTCTTGTATTGTTTTCACAATTTTGTTAGGTTTGGCTTTGTTCTGTCTTGTTTTGTTAGATTTTACTATGATGGAATGGGCAGCTATTTTGAACATAATGGGATGTACTATGGTAATCATGGTTGGTTTCCTATTATCTTGTTTTGAAGTCTCATAATGGTTTCATTCGTTTGTTTAATTGGTTTTATTCTGCTTTGTTCTGTTTGATTTTATTATGTGTGATGGTATGAAAAGCTATTTTGAAGAAAATGAGACATTATGGTAGCCATTGCTGATTTTCTATCATCTTGTTTTGAAGTCCTATCATGCTTCTATTGTTTTGATTGGTTTTATTCTGTTGTGTTTTATTTAATATTATTATGTATGATAGTATGCACAATTGTTTTGAAGAAAAAGAGATAATATAGTAACCAATGTTCATTTCCTGTTGCCTGGTTTTGAAGTCCTGTAATGATTTCATACTTTTGATTGGTTTTATAGTATTTTATTATGTTTGATATTACTGGGTGTAAAGGAATGGACAACTATTTCAAAGAAAATAAGAGGCATTATGGTAGCCCCTGTTGATGTCCCGTTGTCTTGTTGTGAAGTACTGTGTTGCTTGCATTGTTCTGCTCTGATTTGATTTGATTTGTTCTGTTCTGTTCTATCTTACTCTCTTTAAAATAAAAAAAAAAATTTAAAAAGAGGGAACCACTAAAGCTGTGGCAAAATGAATCTGAGGCCAGCTTGGCCTCTCAGGTCCTGGTGCTGCTTATAGTAGGAACATGTTCAATGTGTGAGAAAATAAATGAGAGACTCAATTCACATCCCAGCATCTCAAATGAAAATGCATGCCTCCACATAAATACAAGACTGAACATGCATAAGGTCTTTAGATATACTAATAAACCCATAAGAATATTGAATATTTTATCTTCAACTGGTTTTTTACCCATTTTTATATTTAAAGATAGATCTTTGTCAGTCATTGAGGATATGTCCCTATACCTGAGAATGACATAAAAAATAAATTCATAAAGTGTCAACAAGAGACTTAATTGTCCACAACAAAGAACCAACAGATAACAAAGTCTTCATAGAGAAATCAAAAATGTTTTATACATATGGTCCCTATGAACCATAGCTCCCTTACCCCCGGCACGTGCGTCACCACCATATATGTGTGATGGGCACGTATCGTGGCAACTTCACATAATGATGCTCAGACTTTACTTAAGGTTTTGTTTTGTTTTGTTTTGTTTTGTTTTTTTCCTGTGTCACTCTGAGGAAGTCAAATATCTTAGATATCAGTTCATCTTGGCAGAACTTTGTAATTCAACATGGTTCAATAATTTTATTATCCTGCTGAATTTGTGTAATCAGTAAGATCAAAATGCTAGTAGAAGACAATTAAGTGGGGCCCAGGGACACAGGAAGCCACTATACTTGCTGCTCAATTTTTTGCCAGCTTATGATTGCTCTAAAGATAAGGTATATTTTCAAAAATTAAGAAAAGTTATTTTCTTGCAGAGTTGTTTTTATAAAAACAACTTGAGCCACACACAACACATCTACAGGTATAAACTAGATTACATGGACCTGCATATATAGTGAGTGAAACTAAGGACTCAGCATGTTCATGTCTCCATTTCTTCCTCCATAAAAGCATTATTTTGATTCTTCTGAAACTGTTATACATATATATCCCATCCTCCAAGTCTAAAACCTAAGTCATTCTGTGGAGGTGAGGTCCGAAAGTGTAAAGATAGGAGAAATGAATCTTTACTCTCCCCTTTAAAGCACAATAGCACGTGTCCTGATCTATGCAGTAACCTGCTCTAAGCACTTCACACATATGCACTTATCTAATTCTTACCATCAAAGAGTAGTGCTACTACTATACCTGTTTAACAGATGAGAGTCCTGAAGCACCAGGGTAAGAATCTTATTCTGACCAAAGATAGCTGTGTACCTTACTAGCTAGTGAGTAGTGTGGTAAAGATCCAAACTTGAGCAGTTTGCCTACAAAATCAGTGCCTGTAACAAATCTACAGCTTGCCCAAAAGTCTCAGAGCCCACACACACTTCCCACATAAAGACCATAGAGTATTTCAAACTCATGCGATCTCCCCACCTCCCCACACATTAACTAAGGGCACAGAGCAAGGCTGAACAAATATGTGTAGGCTTTATGTGGAAACCAGACTCAGACTCCTGACACTGCAAATTTGACTGACACTGCAGTTAAAAGTAACCTATGTTTGGAGAAAAAAAGTGTAACCCTGACATTTCATTCACCATTATATTGATATTTGCTAATATACTTTGAAAATGAAAATCCAATGAAACTTTCAAATATTTTGTCCAGTCTTCTTAGTATAGTCTGACTGATCTGCATGTTCCTCCTGCATGTCCAAGGCTTTTAATTAACCTAGCTATTTGCCCTCAATTGATAAAACAGCTTTCACTCTACACTGGAAGATATTTAGGAATTAAGCCTTTATTCAATCTATCTCTAATGGGTAAGATACTAGATATTTTATGAGTACAAAGTCAACAAGTGTTTGCAGAATTGCTAATAAACATTTTAGAAAAGCAGCCAGTTTTCTTGTTTCATTTTATCACAACAAGATTAATGAATTTAATGGAGAACAATATTACCTGTAGCTTTTATAGATCAGTTTGTTTCATTCCTATATATAACAAATCACCACCTGAATTTCCTGACACAGGCTGATTTTTATTTGATTTTAAATATTATCCTTGGGCCTGGCATATTGACACTGCCCATAATCCCAGCAGTCTGGGAAGCTGAGGCAGGAGGATCACAAGTTGGAGTCCAGCCTGTACAATTTAGTAATTAAGCAAGATCTTGCCTCAAAATAAAAATTAAAAAGAGCTTATGATATAGCTGAGTATGAAAGTTCTGGATTCAATCCCCACTACCATGAAAAAAATATCATTAGACAATGTATACATTTTATAGCTTTCAATTTAAACTTGTAAAGAAAACAGAAACTGTTTGACCTTGAACATTTATCTTTTCTTGGAAATATGATCTTCAAAATTTAATAAAAGAAGCACTAGGCTTTTATTACAGAATCCTACAGGAAATGTAATAATGCTATCTATAATTTTAAATAATTCTAACAGCACTTGTAGGCAATAAAGAAAGTCCAAACAGAACAACCTTGTCTGAGATTAAGACACCAGTAAGCAGTAGTCCCAGAGGGAAGCCAGTTCTAACTTAGAGAGAAACACCTTCCATGTCTTAGCATCCATTTAAAATATGTCTGTGGCCCACAGAAAAGCAGGAAGGTTTCCCAAATGCTGCACAAACATCCATGACACACATTTGTTATGTGTAGCCATCAAAACTCTGCTGCCAAAATATTTTATTTTTATGACAAGTAAAAGGATGAAATTAGGAAATAAGAATTGTGGTTCAGTTATGTTTTATAAAGTTGAAATGTAAGTCTGTCTCTTAGAAACCATCAAAGAAAATTGAGAATTTACACATGAAAAGTGAAAAAGAGCAAACAGTGAAAACTCCAAAGATGCTCATTAACTGTGTATTTCTGTACATAAATACCTATTAACTGAGTCTTGATGAGGTTTAAAAAATTATATTTGATACATTTTGTTTGAAAGATCAGTCTTTGTTAACTGATGTACGAGAGGCCTCTTCAACTAAAAGTGAAAATTAATTCATATTGTGTTTCAACATGTGGGAAATTAAATTTTAAAAAGTCTCAATGTAAGTTTACTCGTCAAGCCACACATCTGATCTAGTTTTTTTAGATGACTAAAGGCCACTTCAGTTAAGTGCATTAGGTCATCTGACATTCACTAGAATCCACTGCATTAACTCACACTCTGAAAGACTAGTATAAAACAGTGACATACAGAGAGAAATGAACAGGGGGTATAGTCACCCATGGTGAGAACCATGTAAGCTGAAGTGGAATTACGTGACTACTCAAATCTCAAGGTAAACATTAATGATTAAAATGTGGGTGGTGGGTCTCAGCTTTTAAAACTTGTACTTGAGAGAGTCAAGGTTATCATTGCTTCTCTAAACAAAGTCTGAAGCCCACGCATGGTAACCTTTGAAATCTTAACTAAGAATCACCGGGGCTTCCTGATTGCTTCAGTTTACATGCCACTGGTCACAGAACTTTGAACTGGCCAGTTTTGTTTGGAAAACTTGTAGATTTTGTATCTATTTAAGTTAAACAAACCCTTGGACATACACACATGCTTTGTGGTCAGTATTTTTCCTAAAATGGAAAATTTCATTGGTAAGGAGTTAAATGAACACTACAGACCAAATCTATTAGTTCCTAGGGTGAAAAATACTTGTATTTCCTATCTTTTCTATCATCTACATCCTGTATGAAAAGAATCCTCTACCTTTCTGTTTTATTTTTCAAGAAAATGATCCCACATGATCTTGTGTTGCAACCATTTAGAAATTTATATTAAAATGTTTGTTATAGATATCATAAACCTTATTCTCTTTGCTTTATAGTATCCTTTATCAAAATACAGAGATGTTCCTGCATTTCTGCTTACCAGTATAGTTCTGTTTTTCCATTGAATTTTGATAATATATCAAGGCATATTTTTATGGGAGAAAATGTAAACTTTTGATAAATTAAAGCCACATAAGTCTATATCATGGATAATTTAAATTATGGGGTCAGGGGTTTAGCTCAGCGGCACAAGTGAGGTCCTGAGTTCAAACCCTAGTACCAAAAAAAAAAAAAGAAGAAGAAAGAAAATTTAAATTACTTAAGTAAATGAATCCAATTACTCATAAATATTGACAATGCTGTTCAGAATATTAATGCTGTTTCTGGGCTGTGATTACTACTATTTATTTGAGTAAAAATATTAAAAAGAAAGTAAACACCTGTGTTAAACCTCAATGGTATTCTGCTATTTCTGCCTGTACTGAAGAGTGTAAAACATTCAGGTCTTCTGTTTGCTGTTGTTCTAGATTGTTCTTGTGCTTCAGAAGAAGCTACATGTAATTCTTACCAATGAAAAAAGTGCCTTGCTGCAAGCATTTGGACAACACCGAAGCCACCCATGCTAACCATTCAAGTGAACTGCTGCCCTTACTTTTTCATTTCCTAGGCTTCTAACTTAATCATGAGCAAATATAAAAGCTGAGGTTTAACTTACATATTTATTTGATATGGGCCAACTTGTACGACCAATTTGTATGACCAGTTCACAATGCAAAAGAAGCTAAAATTCAGTAGGTATTCCTTCTCTCTACACCTCAGTCTAACATAAATAGTATTAAATACCTACTTAGTAGCATAGATATTCTTGTTCACTCTGAAGTAAAAAAGGTTTAATCCCCAATACGCTTTCCATAACAGGCATTGTATGTCGTTAGATGGAGCATGCCTCCCCAGTTCACTACCAAAACTCAGTCCAAACAATCTAACACTCGGCCTAATTCAGACATTTGTGTCCTACCTGTTTGGTCTTGGTAGATTGTTGAGTTTCTAATTGTTGTGTTAAACTGACTTATGCACATCAGAGCAAAGGTAACTTTAGAAAGATACTTCGTTGAAAACTAAGGCGAAGTTAGTTAGTTTTTAAGTCTAGGAATATTTACAATTTTATAAGTCCCACCCCTCAAAAAAGAAAAGAATAATCACAAACATCCAAGGAGTGTTAGACTTCGCGGAGTTCTGCAGACCTCCTCGTTGCTCTAGCAAAGGAGTCTGAGTGCAGACTGCCAGTGAGGTGGCTTCTAAGGTGAGACCTGAGGCTTGCCTCACACGTCTCCTGTAAGACACAGGAATCAACACACAAGTTGGTTCTTAATAAAAATTCTCAATGTATCCTGCGAAATCTTTCCAAAGTGAAAAGTCATATTCATGAGCCCAGCAGGCACGATGGCTTGATGATCACATTTGTTTAACTATTCACTTCTGCAGTTCCTCCAGGTGACTACTATCCCCACCACTGCTTTGAAACTGCATTTCAGGTCACCGTGTTCACAGGAAAGAAATTGCTACCTGTCCCTGTGTGTAGAAGGATGGTAGTCAGTGACATTTAGTTCATCTCTTCTATGTTATTTCAATGAAATTACATTAGTCTTGATCCAGTCTTCTTTATGAACCATTTGTGGCAAAAAGACTTCTTTGCATCTTGTTGGCCAGTCAAGACATGGTTTTATTTTTAATTCTTTCAATCTATTTGTCCTTTCTATTTCTCTTTTCCTCTCTTATTTCTCTTTTATTGTAGTAATGTATTAAGAAGTATACCTACTTCAAAACACATACATTCTCAAATGCACATTCTCCTGTACATCAACAAATATATTTTGTAGAACATCATATACGTTTGTTACTTTATTTTATTCCAAAGCTTATAATGGATTTTTACTTCTATGAAATGAAATCCAAATTCTAATGATGTTCAGGTCTGTTTAGTAGAGAAAGGGAAGCCGATGAGAAATGAAAACTTTTCAGAATCTGAATCACTTGATGAACCTAAGATGACAAATGAAAGTTCTTTTAAAGCAGTGAGAATTCAACAATTTGGTGAAGTACAAGGCGTCAAAAGGAGAAACTTGTTCGTAATTAGTTCTGATATATGCTCATCAGTGAGAAGGGCAACCAGCTTTCAACTGGAGGAGGAAGTATATTGAAGAGATAAGAACTAAACACTGTATAAAGGTCGGGAATCCAACCACGCTATTGGGCAAAGCAGGAAAATAAGAAACAGCGGTGAACTTAGAGACAACATGAGCCAGATGGAGAGAAACCAGGGCGAAGGTGGCAGTAGTTCTCTTCAAGGCTCTAGAGAAAAGAATAGGAGAAGCTTGGAAAGAGCTCAGCAAATTCAGGGAATATGGCCACGTTAGCAAATTAGAGAGTATAGCCCTTGACTGAAGGCAGGAAAGAGGTGTATACATAGAAATAAAAGTATTATAGATATTTAACAAGAATAATTTTTGAGAAATATGTTCTTTTTAGTATCCTTATATATCATTTTCTCCCTGTTCAGTTCTTTGGTGAAAATCAAAACTGCTGCAACAGAATGCAAAGAGAAAGAAATGTGAATATCCTCTATCACTCTGGACTTTCCAAAGGATACAGCGTTCAAAAGTAAGGGAAGAAGATGTTAGTCTTTCATCTTGTTCTTCCACAACTCAAAAATTAAATCTGAATGGTGTCAATCTACAATGTCTGTTTTCTTCTTTTACAGGACTTGGATAGTGAGAAACCTGAATGTAAATAAGGAACATTCCATTCTACCTAAGAGTAAAATAAACTTTTCAGAAACTTGAAGTTCAAAAAGAATGAGAAAATAGGATAAATATGTCACTAATGTCACTTGGAGATTCATCATCCCCTAAAAAGGAACAAAATGGAAATTCAGATAGATTGAAATGAAAGTCAAAAATAGTTCTGCAGTGAGAAAAAGGCAGCGTCTTCTGAGAATCAGCCATACTGGAACTCTGGAACCGATCAAGAAAGTAACCAGCCATCCTTCCTGGTCGGCAGCGTGAGCTGCAGGCCCGCCAGGGAGAGAGTAACTGTCTCCTGTGAACTCACCTACAGGTGGGCTGAGAATCAAAGTCTCTTCCCCCCTCTCCCTGATAGCAACAGGATGGTTTTAAGTCAGCCATTGATAGCAACTAAGGTACATAAAGCAACTAAATGCTTGGTTGGTTGATTATGCTGACCTGGGACCAGGATCTAAGCATCTCATGGGAGGATGACTGTATGTAATATAGCAAATATAGGGGATTTCCTTCTAACATATCTTTGATGGCCGAATTGTTTTCATTGTTTTGCTTTGTTCTGATTGTTTTGCCCTATTCAGTATTCTGCTTTGATTGGTTTTATAGTGTTCTTGGTTTGATTTGGCTATATCTGCTTGAATGGACCACTATTGTGACAATAAGAAGATATACTATGGTACCTGTTACTGTTATCCTGATATCCTGCTTGAAGTTCTGCCCAATTTCACTGCATTGTCTTGATTGGCTTTGTTCTATACTGTTTTGTTGTATTTTATGATCTTTAAAGTTAAAAAAAAAATAGTTCTGCAGTGTTTCTCATTTGGAAGCCTTAAAAATACTCCCTAAGAAAGTACACACCTGAGCAGCATGGAGAGGCTCTTGTAGAGAAGAAGCAATTGCAATTATGTCATAACAGCACAGTTCTAAATGGCTGGGGGATTGTGTCAGGAAAATTTACAATCACATTCTACATGAGAGAACGGCAGTCATGTGCACTAGGCCCCTACACCTGTGCACAGGCCTGACGTTGGGGTAGAGCAACCCTACTTTGTGAATCCATCTGGTAAGGTATGCGAGAACAACAAAACCTCTTTCTTCAGAGCTTCCACATGGATGCAGAAGGTTAAACTGTGGGGTTTTCAGATACACAGGCTTTGAAATATCCACACAGGATAGTACACTGTGTGGATAGCAAGTGTAGGGGTTTGTGCAGTAAAATAATTAAAACCAAGGACACTGAGCAAAAGACTGAAAAGTGCTCTAGAACAATAAAGCTTAGAACCTTGCATACTTGGTAAATTCTGGAGTTTTCCTTTAGATTATCTCCACATCAAAAAGAAATGAAGTCCTGAAGAGCGATCATCATTCTAGTCATACTCTGTGCTTAGTACAACATCACGCTGGGGTAAGAACATGGTGTTCTGGTCAGGTTTAGGGCAAAGCCATGCCAACCGTGAAGAGGCAACAGTCCCTCTGGCAGCAGTTTATCAGAAAGTCCAATGTCACATAGAAAATCATCTAGATCATTCACAACGTGTCTTGCCCAGGGACCCCACCCCCGCATGTCTGTCACGTGTTCTTCCATGAAACCTCACCAGTGCCGACTGAGAAGTTGTTGTCTAAGGCCATGTTAATATATTATCATTTCCAATATTGAACAGATATCAAGAAGTCATTTATTTATCTAATCATTGATAAATTTTATCCCACTATCATGGTAACCATAGGAAAGTATCACTAATCCCATGAGAGATGAAGTTTAAAGTCATGCATTTCAGATACTATATCATATCGCTGATGGGGAGAAAATTCTGATCCATTTCAAAAACAGCTGCTGCTAAACTTGGTCCATGTTCAGACCAATCTTGAATGACACTGGTTTTGGTTACTGCGGACAATGAACAAGTCCAGCCAGTGCCATTAGAAATTACTGCTTTCTCTTTCTCTCTTCCTCTTTCTTTCTTTCTTTCTTTCTTTCTTTTTCTTCTTCCTTTTGGTTTTTCTGAAGCAAGGTCTCACTATGTAGCCCAAATGATCCTCTTGCCTGCTTTGGACATCCGAGATTCAATGCCACTGAAGACTCCCTGAGAGACTATGTGGGACATACTTGAAAACTGTTGAAACTCCATTACTTGTTGATTGAAAGTTACTTCTGGGAACATGAGTGCCCACCCTTCCTCCATGCACCTGCTTTTGGAGCAAGACTTCAAGGGCTCAAGACATAATAAGCTATCAATAAATACTTACTAAGTGAATAAATAGCATATGGAGAATTTTATGAAGATATCAAATAAAATAGGAATAAGAAAGAAATTTGAAAAATTTTGAATTTATTAATGTTTCTAAAATTAGGACTTCTGGGAAAATGGTAGAGTGATAAGCAACAACATCTCAGCCTCACTGAGACTCAGAATCCAGATGGTGTATAAATAACAAGTTGAGGAAAAGAAAAAAAGATAAAAGTTAATCTCAGGGATCAGAAATGTCCTGACAGGAAAATTATATTACAGAGAAATTGAAGATATAGAAAAGAAAAAGGACAGTCTGCTATTTCTGCCCAGCTTCTAGCTTGCAGAGAGAAATTAAGGTCAAATCACAGAGACACAGAGAGTGGGGCACCGCAGAAGCGTCAAGGAGAAACACGTGGAAGGACAGACTGCTGGAAACTGGATGCTGGGCCCCAGCACCTGCCAGACCTTCTAAAGAGAGCACTTAGGCAGACGCAGTCCCAGAGGACTGACTGCTTGACTCTGGGACACAGAGGAGCCGCAGTTGATTTCAATTCAAGCTTCCAGTGTTGTTTGCACTCACATAATGACTATGAGAGAGACATCCCTGGGAGACAGCTGTGGCCAGGGAACCATGGAAAGGGTATCACTGTGCCCTCACCCTAATCCTAGTGCCTGCTGGTGCCTGCACCCAGCATGGAAGTAGGTTCTGACTGCTTTTTAATTTACGAACATGAATAGGGGCATGTCTTGACATGGACACTACTCCAAAATTGTAGACCCTGGAATATGTAGACATGTTCAGAATCATAAATTTCTTCTTTTCCATTGTTATTTTATTGGAGAGGAAGAGATTTGGTGTTTTTGTCTTGTTTGTTTAGTTGGTTGGTTTTTATCTGCTGTGTGCAACATCTTTTGTTTTGGTTTGTTTTGGTTTTGGATTTTTTTAGTATTTTTCTCATTTAACTCCTTTCTTCTTCACCAGTTTATTGAGGCTTGGAGAATTTTCCTTTGTCCTCCTTTACATCTTTTTTTGTTTTGTTTTGTTTTTGTTTTTTAGGACAGAAATGCGCCACATCAGGAGGGAAAGGCCAGCAAACAGGGCCATGCTAGCTCCTCCCACCTCCATTCTGAGGCCTCCTGCCAGTATCCAATAATCCTTATTAAAACGTGCTTTGCAGCCTGGCATGGTGGCACATGCCTGTAATCTCTAAATTTGGGACACTGAGACAAGCGTACCTCCATGAATTCCAGTCAAGCCTGGACCACATAGTGAGCTCAATACCTTGTCTCCAAAAAGAAAAAAAAATCCAACACTGATCAGTAATTCAATCAATGTGTTTTGCTACATCTACAGGCCAATGCTTCTTGTTTTTCTTAAATTTTTTATTTTTATTTTAAAGGGGGTAAAATTGAACACAACAAAGCAGAACAAAATAGGACATAAAGAAGCAGTGTAAGAGGTATAAATTTCAAAGCTAGACAACCTGAGATGTTCACTATCTATCATATTGTCTCGTTTTCTTCCAAATAATTGTGCATATCTTCACCTACAGATATTTCATACAAAACAACATAGTATTAAACTGATCCAAACAGAATAAAGAAGACGATTTAGGTCTTCAAAACCAGACAATAGAGAAGTCACTAATGGTGGTCGTAGAATCTCTCGTTCTCTTCAAAATAGCTGTCCATACTTTTATGTACATTGAAGTTCAACAAAACAAAACAGGAAGACGGGGAGAAGTTGCTTGGTTTCCTGGTGCTCCAGGTCCCAGCATGGCATGGTTCCCAGTAAAGCCTGGAGGCTCCTGTCCTGGGCCACCAGAGCACACCACACTCACAGCGGCTCACCAGGGGAGGGAGGGGTTGCTTAGTTTTCCAGTGCACCAGGTCCCAGCATGGCGCGGGTCCTAGTAAACACCAGTGGCTCCTGTCCTGGGTCGCCACAGCCTACCACACTCATAGCCTCTCATGGCGGGGAGGAGGTGTTGCTTCAAGCTGTTTCTTTCTAATGAATTGACCACTTCACTGCTCAAGTTCTGAAATGCTCAATAGGTCATAGAAAGATATCTCTTTAGGTTCCTGCTTAAAATCAACAACATCAGGAAGCTGCCGGCCTTGATTCAGGGCCAGTACATCTTTTTTTTTAAATTAATTTTATTGGTACAGTTTAGATACACATAATGATCACATTCATCACAGAAAATGATGATGTTATTCACCTGTGAATAACATACCTGAATTCCTTTTTCCCCAACCCCCTCCTCTGCTTTCAACCCCTCTTCCTCTCCATATTTAAAAGATTTGTTTCTATTTTTCTTTATTCTCTTTTTTCATTTACCTTCTTTGCTCTCCCCTAACCCTCTTGTTCCCCTTTCCATTTGAATATTTTCTTCCTATTTCAAATTATTTATTTTGAATCTTATTTACCCTTTCAATTTCTCACACAAGAAAGAATGCAGTATTTAAACATGTGTGTACATTTTGTTTGACTTGATCAGTGTGGTCTCAAAATCCACCCATTTACGTAGAAATGTCTCAAATTTATCCAAATTTATCTTTACGGCAGAACAGTATCTATTTTATACAATAAAAACCACACTTTATTTATCCATAATCTGTTGATGAACATTTAGGCTGTTTCCAGGATGTAGCTACTAGAAACTGTGCTGCTATAAACATGGGTTTACATACATTACTGTGCTGTGGTGCTTTTAACTCTTTCAGGAAGATGCTGAGAAGGTGAATAGCTGGATCCAGTGGGACCTCTAGTGCTAGTTTTGTTAAGGAATCTCCACACTGAATGCACAGTTCCACAATGGCTCCACTTCCTCCAGCAGTGGAGAAGGGTACCTTTTTTGGCAGCTCCATATGCATTTCTATTGGTTGATTTCTTGATAAGAGCCATTCTTTCCGGAGTGAGATGGCTCAAATGTGAAGTGGCACTGAGCATTTTTTCATATACTTATTTGTCCTTTGTACTTCTTCATCTGAAAAGTTAATTTCAGATGTTCATTTTTGGGTTGGATCTCTACATTTTGTGGCAGTCTGACTTTTTTGAGGTGTTCACATATTCTATATATTATCGCTTGGTGTGAAGTATTTTCCCACTTGGCAGAAGTATTTTCCCACTCTGGGGGTTGTCTCTTCATTCTGTTGCTGTCTTCATCACTTCTGCACCTTTTGGATAAGGTCAAATGTTGGTGGTTTCTTTTGCCATGTAAAAGCTTTTTAATAAGATGAGAACCTTGTTGTTTTTCATAATGCATCCCATAAGATTAGAGGTTTTTCCCACAAAGTCTTTGTCTACACCTATGTCTTCAAGAGTTCTACCTGTTCTATTGTCCACCAGATTTAGTAATTATTTTAATACATATTTGATCCATTTTAGTTAAGTGCATAGTGAAAAACATGGGTTGTAATCTTTGGCATATGGAAAGCCAATTTTTCAGGCATGACTTATTAAAGAAGCTATCTTTCTTCCAGTAAATATGTTTGGCCCCTTAGATGAAAGATCAAGTAGTAGGGTGTGTTTGCAGTTGTTTTTGCATCTTCTAATCTGTTCCACTGATCCTTGAGTATTTTTTTAAATCACAATAGCTTTATAGGATAATTTGATGCAGGGATTGTGATATTCCCTATCTTTTCTTTCTTCCATGGAATCACTTTTACTACTCTGGGTCTCTTCTGGTTCCAAATGAATATTTGGGCTATTTTCTCTAATGTTGTGTGGTACACTATTTTTGCATTTTGGTTGGGATTATGTTAAATCTATATAACAATTTTAGAAGTATGGTCATTTTCACTATATAGTTCTTCCTATCCAAGAATTAGGAAATCTTTCCATTTTTTGATATTGTATTTGATTCCCCTCTGAGTACTGTAGTTTTCAACATACAGGTCTTTTACTTCCTTTATTAGAGTGATTCCCAAGTATTTCATTTTATTTTGATGTATTATAAAAGGTTATTGTTTCACTGATTTCTCTTTCACTCAGTTTATTATTTGTGTACAAGAATACTTTTGATTTTTCAGTGTTAACTTTGTATCCAACTACATGACTACATTTGTTAGTAAATCTAGAAGTCTTGGTGGAGTTTTTAGGCTCTTGTATCATTTGCAAATAATAATAATTTAACTTCTTCCTTTCCTAACCATATTCCCTTTCATTCTTTCTCTTGTCTTATTGGCCTGTATTATGTTTTCAGAACAATATTGGATAGGAGTGGTGTTGGGAGCCGCCGACACCAGTTGCCTTACTTGGCGGACGTAGGGCCTGTGGGTGGGAGCGGAGCCTGAGCTAGATTGCCCCTCCCATCGAGTGAGTCAAGTTGGCGCCTGCTTCCTGCCCCCTGATTGCGCTGGCGACTTAAACAACCCGCTCTGTAAGATAGTCTGCCTAGCAACAACTGATGTTAGCCAATCAGCCCGCATCGCGCGCTTTGAACTGATTGGCCACTGTCACCCTATAAAAGTGAATGCCTCTCCCGCCACGAGACAGGAAGCACAGAGAAAGCACAGAGAGAGATAGAAAAAGTCCACCGGCGAGAAAGGGCTGGTGGCAGAGTGGAGGCCTCGCGGGGCCCACGCGGAGATAAATAAAGGCAAGGTTGCACACCGCCAGACTTTGTCGTGTGTCTTTCCTGCCGGCCGGGAGCGACCTCAACATTTGGTGACCCGCACGGGGACTGATCAACCCCGAGACACGGCGGTGGTGTGCAATGCTCCAGTGTGGTGCTGCCGGACAGGTGAGTTGGGGATAAGCCTGGGCTCTGGGTGGCGCGCACCTACAGGGCTTTTAGACTCCCCTCAGGCTCACGCGTAGGTGACGGGTTCTTTAAGTCACACGCGGTGAGTAACAGCCCTTAGAGGTTGAGGATGGGTAATTTACCGAGCGCGGAGGCGCGGCCCTTGGTAAAGGCCCTTAGAAAGCTTTTAAAAGCTAGAGACCTCAGGGTAGGTCAAAAAACACTGGAACTATTCATAGCAGAGGTAGATAGGGTGGCTCCCTGGTTTTTACCCACGGGGCATTTAAACCTGCCGTCATGGGAGAAGTTAGGCGGGGACCTCGCTTCGGCGGAATTGGAAGGGGATATTTTGCCGGCTATTCGCCCCCTGTGGGAAATGATACATGCGTGCCTTGACTCCTATGCCGAGTTGCGCCGCGAATTGTGTGCGTGCGCCGCTCGAAAAAAGCAAAGAGAGGAAAAAGGGCCCCCGAGCGCTCTCTGGCGGGGAGGAGATAGAGAGCCATCCGCTCCGCCCTGGAGCTCTTCTCCAGAAGCGGCTCCCCGCCGAGAGGACGCTACAGGGAACCCTCCCTTCTCTCAGCCGGCACAGGAAGTGACGCCCCGTTCCACTCTGTCGCGACCGCCGTCCTATGACGTTGCGCTGCGGGGCGGACGGTATTTTCATGGGCGGCTACTCTGCCGAGCAGGCTGAGAAAAACGCCGGTTGAGGAAACGGGGGCTGGGGATTTAGCTTAGCGGCATAAGCGCCTGCCTTGTAAGCAGGCAATCGCGAGTTCGATCCCTGGCACCGATAAAAAAAAAAAAAAAAAAAAAAAAAAAAAAAAAAAAAAAAAAAAAAACGAAAAAGACCAAAAATAAAAAAAAATAAATAAATAAAAAATAAAAAACAAAAAGGGGGAGTAAGCCAAGGCCTGCCTCCAAAGGCGCGGTTATCTATGGCATGACAATGGATGGGCCCGGATCCGGTGGTTAGCTGGAACCGAGGCGCGGTTTGTGTTTTTCCGCAGGAACCGAGACGAAAACCACTGTGGGTCCCAGAGAGGTTGACGCAACAAGTCCCTCGACTAAAGATCAGGCCTGTTCCACCAGAGGCCAACCGCAGACCCAACAACAAGATGAGCCCTAAAAGAACTGCAGGACAATCCCTTTTTGGGGAGCCTGGAATGGCTTGCTCCCCTATGTTTTACCATTGTTAGGTCCCCTGTGCTCCTTGCTTCTGCTCTTACTTGTAGGACCATTCTTGCTCCGATGGGTTACATCATTTATTAATGGGCGCCTTGCGGCGGCCCGGCGTCAAGTACGCCTGGTTGCCCATGCGGCCCTGGCAGCAGCCTGTGATGGGCACAATGACCCCCAGGCTTACGCATGGCTCGCTCGACTGGCCTACGACCGGGTCTAGGTGTGGCGGGTCTTCCGCATTCCTTCCCTAATGACACCACACAGCAGGGTAGGTGAGTCAATGACGGGTAAGAGCGTGCCTCCCCAGCACGACTCGACCTAAGCCAGGCCCTACCCCATGGCGCACGAAAGCCGCTGGATTACTAGAATCTGCCCAGATCTAGATACCTCTCCGAGGGGATCACACGGAGGGGCATGAGTGCATGCCTATGTGCATCCAGGTTCCGTCCAGTTCACTCCTGGCCCTGGAAAAAGGACGAGGGTCTCAAGGCCTTGGCGGACCCAGGGGCGGCCGACCAGGGTCCAAGCCAAGGGCCTACGGTGGGCCTCAACACAGGGCATAAGCCTCTGCACTCGATCCAGGGCGGGCTGTGATGCATACATTCATTCAAAGTAAATAAAATAGGGGGAGATGTTGGGAGCCGCCGACACCGGTCGCCTTACTTGGCGGACGTAGGGCCTGTGGGTGGGAGCGGAGCCTGAGCTAGATTGCCCCTCCCATCGAGTGAGTCAAGTTGGCGCCTGCTTCCTGCCCCCTGATTGCGCTGGCGACTTAAACAACCCGCTCTGTAAGATAGTCTGCCTAGCAACAACTGATGTTAGCCAATCAGCCCGCATCGCGCGCTTTGAACTGATTGGCCACTGTCACCCTATAAAAGTGAATGCCTCTCCCGCCACGAGACAGGAAGCACAGAGAAAGCACAGAGAGAGATAGAAAAAGTCCACCGGTGAAAAAGGGCTGGTGGCAGAGTGGAGGCCTCGCGGGGCCCACGCGGAGATAAATAAAGGCAAGGTTGCACACCACCAGACTTTGTCGTGTGTCTTTCCTGCCGGCCGGGAGCGACCTCGACAGAGTGGTGATGTGGACATCCTTCTCTGTTTCCTGAATTTAAAGCAAAAGCTTTCAGGTTTTGCCCATTTCTTATGCTGTTAGCCATTGGCTGGTCATAGATGGACTTTACGAGGTTGAGATTATGAATTCTG